ATTCCTGGTTTTATCCACAATGAAGATGTCCATTTAAAAAAATCAAAGGAATTTCCAGCATGAGAAGTAAAACGATAAAGCAAAAATCAAAAACTACACAGATCTTCTGTTGTTGTACTAGAAAACTTGTCTTCAGAGCAAAGCAGATGACTGTTACCAAAGTGTCAAAGGGGCATAAATGTATTTCTGGGGAGTGCAAGCAGTTCAACATTCAGGAGCAAAACTGGGTAAATAAAAGGAGGAAATAGTTAAGAGAGTGGGATGATATATATTTAACTCAGGGGTAAAATCAGACCTCTAACAGCTTGATGGTGGCTAAAAGTATTAGCCAGAAACATTAGAATGACAGAAAAGACTTGTAAGGAAACCCCGTAAAGACCTTTGCATTGCAGCCTAGTACAGAAAAAGAAATGTATAGAGCAGAAATGAAAAGTTAGTGAAGGAAAAATGAAGCTCTGTAGTGTATTTAAAAAAAATAATAGAAGGAAGTTAATAGGAACGAGATGAAAGGCGATTTCACATCGCCAAGCATAAGTTACTAATGCCTAATGGACTGTGTGGTTGGGAGAGCTGCAGAAATGTGTTATTTTTACTTTGTTGGTTTTGGGTGGAATTTCCTAAAGCTGGAGCAATTCAGAAGTAAAATCTTCTTTGAAAGCCAGCAGGATTTTTATTCCCAACAAATCTACTTGCTTTTTGAAAAATCTCACCCTAAGTGCATGTAATATACGCCACGAAGGAACACTGTCATATTATGTGTTAAATCATAAGCACTGATTATTCACAAATTTACAGAAGAATGGGGGTGGTGGGGTGTTGTATGAAAATGATAGAAATCAGAATTTACATAGATAAAAAGCATTTGTATTAAATCACTCTATTTCTATCGTCATCCCTTTCCATAGAAGAAGAATGCTGCAATCACCCAGCTGTTTCACCAACTCTCTCTTTTAAAGAAAGACAGAAATGATTCAAAATAATTTTTATGACACAAGCAACCCCATGCAGAGCTTTGGATCTCTTCCAGTTGCCAGTCACCCTAAAAAGGTTAGCAGTGGTGTTAGCTGGAAATTAAGCAGCCCTTAATGGGATGACATGATGTGCATGTTGGGTGGGACCCTTCACCCTAATGATGATTTTTGTGGCTTTACACATGAACAATTTACAGGGGAAATCCAATTATTTTGGTTTCTTCCTTTGACATTTTATGAATGGAGAAATATTTCCATTTGCAGCAGCAGTACTTATTTAGGAGATACCATGTCAATGGGTTCCTACCTGGTTTGATGTTGTTGAACTCCTTTTCTATTGTCTCTTCAGTGGTCGAGAGCATGAGGTTCCTCACGTAGAGAATTTTTACTGATGACATGGTGTCTTCATCCACCTCCACTTCTGGTTCTGCCCAGTCAACAGCGATAGGGTGTCCCCACAACTGGATCCTTCCTTTAAAGGAATTGGCATGGTCAGTGTCAGACAGGCTTTGGTTCCTCTTACTTCTGCTCAGAGACTATTTCACATGCAGTATGAACAGCAGAATAGGCCAATTCTACAAACGGGACCAAAATAAGCCTTTCTTGCTCAAAGCACGGCTGCTTCGTTAACTCATTTCCAAAAGCAGATGGTCACACTTTAGGCGTGCTCCTGCTAATACCTTAGATGCCTGCAGAAATGCAGCCTCCAGAATTAAAGACGTGAAAATATGGCATGATTCACTAACGTCTGCGTTCCCTGGAGTTCTCTCTAAAGGGAAATATTTTAATGAACTTATAAAAATCCCCCTTGGCTGCAAAAGTTTTGTTCCCTAGATAATAGGAAAGGGATGCAGAAGTCCCAGCTGGATGAAATGAAATAGTAAAAGCAAGGATGTCTCTGTGTGGAAGTATTTGAAGTCATATGGTCCCTGCTGGGGGAAGTTGCAGCAGAAGTAGTAGAAAGGAGTGACACAAAAAGTAACAAGGCATAAAACAGCGTGTGGGTGTGGAGGAGAAGCTCATGGGCTCTGTACACACATGGGATCGAGCCACTGAGGGGCAGAGAATAAAAAGAGCAAACAAAGAGGTTGTTAAAGGCCATGTTGTCGCCATGTTATCACACTGGGGTCCGTAATCATTTGCATTGAGTCACCTAATCTGTTAAGTAATTGATTAGTCAATTAGTGATGTTTAATATGTAATGAAACCTGACTGGCACAGTCTTGTTTCAAAGGTGTGGGAATCGCAGTGATGAGCAGCAGGATACCAGGTAAGGCAGAGGGACATCTACATAGTGATGGTTTCTTCACCTCCTGTATTCTCCAGATGGCAATGATACCTCTTTCCTCCTCTTTTTCTTCCCTGTTCCTTCTGCACATTTTGCAGGGAGATCGTCCTCCCTTCAGGAGTGGTTGAAATCTGGCCACCCGCTAATATCCAGAGCCCGAAATTTCATGTGCTCTATCTGTGGCCCACTTTTTCTCCAACAATTTTAATTGGCCCAGCAGCTAATTCTTTGGATGTAGAGTAGGGACCATTTTCTGTCTTAGCAGCATGGTAAGTGCTAGATAGTCCTTCCAAATAATGAAATAGAAAGTCCACCTCTTCTGCAAACATCCCCCAAAGAGTAAGTGGGTCTTTCTCTGTTTTTGTCTTTCTTTCTCTCTGATCTTTATGACATGAAGATTGAGTCCTCCAAGGCCTTAATTATGCTAAAACCTGGAAGAAACCTGGGGATGCCTATGCCAGTAGAGGGAAAATGAGAATCCTGCAAAACATTTTTGGAGAGATCTAAAAAAAGGCATCCTCTCTTGCATCTCCACTTGGATAACCCATCTAAGATGGGATGGGAGCTCCAAACCAGAGAAAATTAGAGGGCAAGTGTAGAATTCAGAGACCTGTTTTTCTGTATTGGAAGTGAAAATTAACAAACTAAATGGAAAGAGGCTGCTTCCTGCTAGGAAGGCTCATGAATGAGCCGGGATTTGTGGAGAGAGGTTGGGCTGATGCTCAGCTTTCAGCGCTGCCCAGTCTGACTTGGGCTGTTAGTGATCAGAAATAGAGAGATGGCTGCTAATGGCAGCCAGCTGAAAAGAAAGGTCATGTGCCCCTTTCTGAATCGCCATTTTTCTGTTCAGTAGTGGAAATAATGACCTGGCTGACTTGCAGCAAAGGAGCTAAGCTTGGTGCCTACGCTAGCCTCTTGTTAAAACCCAGTCTTCCTCCACCCTCCTGTTTAACCAGGAAACAGGACAAAGTTTTCATAAAAAGCATCTTCCTTTTCGAGCATTTCTGTCATTCTACAAAGCTCCCTCAAAGAGCAGTGAGGTTCAGAGTAAAGGAAGTGTCTTGATAATGATATTCAGTCTCACATTCATCCAATGCATCAGCTGGAGACACAGTCAGTTCTGGCTTGAAACTTTTTTCAAGTTCCTCCCGTATGTTTGCAACATCAGAAGACTCTGGCTCCTGCTCAGGCCTTTGAAATTCCTCAAACTGTTTACCAAGATGTCCCTGAATTGGAAATCACTAGCACATTGCACATGTCTGTTCAGGGCTACATGTTCGTTCCATCTGTCTCACTGTCTTTGCTCAGGATTTCAAGTACTCTGCTCCCTCAAGGCTGCCATCGGCAGCTGTGGCTGTGCCTGCTCCTTCCATCGTTCTCAATATAGAAACCATGGAAATGTTGTGCTGAAGCACAGATCAGCTGAATGTTCTCTCACAATCAGGGAGATGCTAAGCTGATGCAGAAAATGCAGAATAAAAGGAAAAATAGTCAGTGTGAGATATCCCACAATAGCTAAGTGTGCTCGAAATCATGCTCATTTTTTTACAATAAGAAAAAAGGATTTCAATTACTCGGGATGTTTCATGGGCTGTTGTATAGAAAGGGTGAAAGAAGGTTGGTGGGTTATGAAGACGTCTCAAAACAGGTTTATTGGATTCTTTCACCAGCAAGCGAGCTGAGTTTGACAAAGCAGTGCAGGAGCTGCTGAGCATAAGAAAGCATGAGAAAATTAGTGAAATCACTGCAAATGCACTTAATGTTGACTCCTTCATCTAACACCTGCCAAACCTCTCTCTGTTTCACAATGGTCTTTGAATGTCCCCCAGCACTAAATTGCATAGGCTTATTCTTTATATTGTTTAAATCCTAAAGCAATTCCTCATTTGAAATTTTCTTCACACATGGAAAATACCCATTTTCAGGAACATCCTCAGTACATTCTCAAGACTGAATATGTTCTTAGATGTTTTCCTGAGCGGTTGTCTCTGAGAGGCCATAACTGAGACTATATTTTATATATAACCCAAGATAACCACAGGATAACACATATCCTACAACAGAGCTGTATGGGTACACACAGCTAAATCCAGCTAGCTGTATTTTGAATAAATTCAAGCTCCTAAATGAAAAGCATGGATAATGAGCATGGTGCTACATCACGATCTGTAGTGAATCTCTCACCCTGCACCCTAGAGCCAGGGAGACTCCATCACCCAGCCACGGTGTATTGGGGTCCCTCCTTGCTCCGAGTGTCTCCAGCAGCTGAGAGGAGAAAACCCAAGCAGCGTTTGCTTCCTTGGGTACCTGGGTCCTCTGGAGACCCCGGTCTCACTGCAGCATAATGTGTACATAGGTGACCCCTGAGATGAAACCATCCCTACCACCCTCACCATCTGTACTAACCTGGGAGCAATTTTCTCCTGGCCATGGCTGCTGCCCGATGGCTTTCATATTCCACAAAAGCAAAACCCCGGTTTTTGGTTTTATCAGCTGCACTAGGGTAGACAATGACATCCACAACTCCGTCTGTGACTTTCTTCATCTCTGCTAAAATTTCCTCCCTCTTCTTCGTTTTGGGGATCCCTCCCACAAACAGGCGACAGTTGTCCACACTGGCACAGACTCCAAGGAGACGCCCATTCCTGAGTAGAAACAACATTGTTCATTTGTTAGGAGTCAAGATCAGTTCTCAAAGAGAGGAAAAATTTAAAATAAACCCCCTGTCTTGTCCCAAAACACAAGGTCAAACACAAGGCCTCCTGCTCCTCCAGCATATGTTGTTTGGGATATTCAAGCGGTCTTGCTCAATGCAAGAGCTAACATGAAGGCTGCCACTCTGCTAAATTTGACATCAAAGTAAGACAGCACAGTTGAAGTGAAGGATTTGAGATCAGGGAGAAACCAAAGCCAAATTTTGCTTTTGCTTCCTGGGATTCTCCCTTTTGCTATTTGCAAAAACGGCTGCTACCAGGCAACTGTACCTACCACCCATGGTCACAGCAGTGACTCTTGTGTCGCTATCAGTATAAGCCAGGATTTGTTGTGTTCACCAGTGACTTGTAGCTTCCCAGTCACCATTGGGCTTCATGACTGAGGTTTTGGGGAAAGAAAATCCCTTGTCATTGAGAAACAGCATTTGGGGGCTTACTGATGCCAACTGTTGAGCAGACCCCAAAGTAAAAATTTGCTTACATGCACTTTGCTTACCTCTTCGTGGTCCAAATACCTCTTGCAGGTCTTGAGAAGTTAAAAACTTCTTTAGAGGAGTCTTTGGAACAAGGGAAGTAAGCAGAGGGGGTGGAGGTGGATGAAGCCTGATCTTTAAGATATTTTAACCTCTGATACAAATCACATTTCCAAGCCCTCCCTGTGTGCCTTGTGACCTGCTCATCCTTAGGGTTGCTAGTAAAGCAATTCATAACCCATCTTTTTTTATTAAAAACAAACCTGAAAGCCATAAAATTGCCAGAATGGTTTATCTCTAAATGCTTCTAAGCAAAGGCATCTACTCATCCCACTTTGAACTGGAAAAAAAAATTAAGTGTAGTTGTAATCAAAACAAAACATATTCATAGGCCCAGATGTTGTTGATTTCTGGGTGTTTTGTTCCCAATTTTTAGTCACAAACATGAGGGCTTTTTCTGTTCCTATCTATTAGGAAATGTCACTATATTGCCAATTGGTTTCCATCCTATTTCACCATTTTTTGCAATTGCTCTGTCTCCCAGAACATATCTGCAGTATAGGTCACAAGAGAGACTGTGAATAGGAATAAATCAACCAAAAAACCAGCCCAGAGGGCAACATGAAATAAACAGCAATGGTTAGGCAAAAGTTAATTTGATCCAAAGCAAAGTATTTTTTCCAAAGTTCTGGTAGGGTTTTTTTTTGGTAAAGAAGAAATTTCTTGCGAAAGATTTTGGTTCTGATGAGTCCTACATACTGCCTTTTTACTATGGCATAAAACAATGACTGCACAGGGATGCAAGAGGTGATTTCCTCTTAAAGCTTAGGTATCTAAATAACATTCCTCTGGGCTGTAAGGAAAAATATGCGTTACATAACAAAATAGATTTAATGTTGAGGTGAAGATGTATGCCATGCTTACCTAATTTCATAATTATTGAGTTGCTTTATTGCATTCTTCGCCTCCTGTTTATTCGAGAAGGTCACAAAGGCGTAGCCCCTGTTGTTGCCGTTAAAGTCCATCATCATTCTCATTTCGTAGATTTTGCCAATCTGCAAATAGAAAGAAAAAGGTTTGTCAGCAAGGCAGGAGGTGTTTAAGCAAGACTGGGTGCTTCCTTGGCTATATCATGTCAGAGCTCCACCAGTAGCCTGGGCCAAATCATCTCCCGTTCAGCCTTGAAATGAAGCTTTGATCATCACTGACCTCTGCAATACAACTACCTGCCATGAACTCTTACTTTTTCACACAGTGGTATAAGTTCATCTTCAAAGAGGTCTCGGGGCAGTTTCCCAATAAAGATCTCACACCCCCGCTCCGGCGGAGGGCCATCCCAACCAGGTGGTGGGCCTCCGTATTTCCTCTGCCCATTTTCCTGCCATGGAGAAAAATAAAAGAATGGTTTAGACATAGATTTTAAATGTGGATGTAACTAACCCCTTCCCAGGGAATGACGATTTAGACATGCTCTGTTACCAGTGGGCTGGAGACAGACTCACTCCTTCCCTTCAGGGAGCAACTCTTTACAGACTCATCAGAGATAACGTAGCATGCGTTGGCTGCCCCACTGCCATATCTATACTGAAAGGCTTTGATAACCCAGTTAGTATGCTGGAGATGTACTGGAGAGGGATCTGGTTTGTACTAGCTGGGTTTTGCTAAGGAACATGCATCAGTGTATGTTCTGTAACTCAGTTGCTACTTCAGATGTCCAAGATGGAGACAGTTGAATACCTCTGTGGACTGTGTGTTAGTTGTGGACTGCGCAATATAACACTTGCAAAATTTATAACTTCTCATGATTCTTCATAAACATTTATTAGCAATGATATTGCCTCTTATTTTAGTAATTGAAGGAGAGCTTCCTACCCTACAGACCAAAGAAAAGATCATAGATACTGGAAGGATCGTGTTTAAGAGCAGAAAGACTTCCCAAAAGCAGAAGGCATCTGGACCTCAGAAAGTGCTAACACGGGGGAAAGTGGGGATGAAGGTAGAAATTTGGAGAGAAACATGGACAGAGTGAAAGGGGCCAGGCAGGGAGCCCAAGGCACCATTGGTAGTAGGTGATGCTGGAGCTGCTCAATGCCTGTGAAAAAGATGTTTGTGCCAGCAGCTGGGCTTAGCGAAGAGGTAGCAATGCTTGGCACAAGGCGTGGTGAGGACCCAGGCCTGGAGATGGGCATGGAGAAATGGTGCACCCCAATGCCCACCCCTTCCTACACCCAGGAGCGGTGAAGCTCTTTCTCTAACTGTGCTGGGCATTTTAGAGGGAACCCAGCAGGGGAGGAGGTCTGGGCAGAGGAGGTGACAGAAGCAGCCCCACAGGGGGGACAGAGGAGGGCCATCGATGGTGGGAGGCCATGCGAGGGGCAAAACATGATGACTGCCTGCCCAGGAGTTTCTTTAGGCAGGGAACAAGTCTTGGCCCCAAATAATATTCGAAGATGTGAAGACCAGCCAACATTTCCTCTTTTTGCTATGTTTTTGCTAGGTGAGTGTGTCTCTGTTATCTTCTATTTTTAATCATCTTTTCTGTATTTCTTGTTTTTCTTCTTCCCTTCATTCTCATGCTTGCTTTCTTTCTTTTCTTTCTTTTCTTTCTTTTCTTTCTTTTCTTTCTTTTTTTCCTTCCTTCCTTCCTTCCTTCCTTCCTTCCTTCCTTCCTTCCTTCCTTCCTTCCTTCCTTCCTTCCTTCCTTCCTTCCTTCCTTCCTTCCTTCCTTCCTTTCCTTCTTTCTTTCCTTCCTTCCTTCCTTCCTTCCTTCCTTCCTTCCTTCCTTCCTTCCTTCCTTCCTTCCTTCCTTCCTTCCTTCCTTCCTTCCTTCCTTCCCTCTCCTGTCCTGCAGCAATGCCCTGCTCCCAGAGGATCTGGGACTCTTGTCATTTTTCTATTTTTGGTTCCCTGATTATTTCTGTAGCCATTTCCCACTCAGGGATTATTCCAGGCAAGTGAATGCCTGTACATCTGACTTATGAGGGAGGCCTAAAGCATGTAAGCAAACGGGGATCCTTGCAGGAAAATAAGAATATACCACAAGCTCTTTCGGTTTTCCTGAACCTATAACAGGCCCTAAATTATCCATGCTCACTCCTGTTTTTCTAAATGTTTTTAGCATAGTGGTGGAGTCACAGGGATATTTGAATTTATGAATGAATTCTTACAGCAAATCTAACAGGAAGACCATGATGTTTCAGGCTATTTTTCTTCCCCCAGTTTTCCTGAACTGAGCACATTGCTGGCATGGGATTTTTCTGTCTCTCAAGCCATTTGTTAGGTGAAGACAAAAAGTGACGGTTGTGTTTTGTGTTGTTGCAGTCATCTGCGATCTTCACTGGCGTGTCAGCTGGAGGAAATGCTAAGCTCATCGATAATGGTCTAAAAATGGTGAGAGGGGTCTTACTGTCGCACATAAAGCCAAGTGAGAGATCATCAAAGAGTTCTTTTTTTTTTATTTTGTTAATGTCTGTGGGAGCTGGTGTGCGAGGAGACACAGCAAGAAATAAAGTCTTTCCTCAATCTGCAGTAGCTTCATTTGTGGCTTGAAGGCAGCGTCTCAACAAATTCATCTTGACAAGGTGTCTGGAGGGAAGGAGGACTTCATCATCCACTTCACAAAGCTGAGTGACCCTGGCGTGCATTGAGGAAGAAAGTGTTTGACTGCACCAATAGATAGGTTGGAAGAAAAGCCCAAAGACATGTGGAAAAGGAAATCAAGAGGGGGGAAAAAACCAAAAAGATAAAATAGTAAGCTTGCAATGGAAAAGGTAGGGAGAAAGAAGATGTTGAGGGGTATGTGTGGGGGGCTGGGGGGCTGGGGATTGAAATCTGTGGTTTAGGAATGAGCTATAGCCAGATATGACAGTTTGAAAAACTGGAGACCAGGATAAAGGAAGCCACAGTAAATATAATACATAGAGAAGGTATTTATCTTCTGGGTCAGATACAGCAGAAAGCTTCGTCAAGGGCAACAAACCCAGCTGCTGGTCTGGTCCTGGGGCGCACACAGGATTAAGGGCTATAGGAAAATGCTTTTTCCCAGGAGCCTCAGTTTTTGCTTTGAGCTGTTGTGCCCTCTAGTGCTGTGCAAAGCAAGGCAAAGTTCAAGGCATCCACCTGCCTAAAATTCAGTGTTTTCAGTTACTTCTTCCAGGATGCAAGGGCCGTCATATTGGTGCACAACGCTTTTGAAAAATTAGCTGGTTTTGGTCATGCTAACTGAGAAAGACTTCTTCAGATGGCTCCTGAAGAACATGCCCTGTCTCCACCTCCCCTAACCAGAGGAGGCGTTGCACATGGAGATCTTGAAGACTAAACTGGGAGCAAACCTTTGGTGTTTGGGCAGGTGAGGCACCTGCCTCACCTTCGCTTGTTCAGGTGCAAAGACCTGTACAAAAGGCAGATCTGGTGGTGATGTGTTGGACTTCCTATGGCCAGCTCTGGACCTATGCTCTTCTGAAACTTTGTTTGGTTTTTTTTTTCTGCCCTTGTCATAATTTGTCATTGGGCAAAGAATTCCTGGAGGAATAAGGTCCCGTGTCATAAAAGACAGCATCTATTACATGTAGTTATGTGCAGCACGTATGTTAGAGAAAAACAGAAGAAGAAGAATGAACAAGGAGCGCTTCATGCACACGGGTTTGCTGCTCAAGCCCCCGATGCAACGCATCGCTTCAGGATGAAACCAGACACTGCACACAAAAGGATGTGACCATGAGTTCGTACCTGGATCAAATTATATCCCGTTCGCTGAATTAACGCACGGAGGGCGGCTTCTTTCTGTGTGCCGGTCAATCCATCCCCGGATTTGTGATTTGATTCCATTGTGAGTGATTATCAGCAAAAAATCAGGTTAATTAGGGGTGCTCACTGCAATCAAATTTAAGATAAATTAAATAAATTAATACGGCTAGGAGGAGAAGGTCCACCCTCCTGAGAAAGTTAACAGGATCATTCTTCCTAAATCAGTTATTTTGAGATAAAAGCAAAACAAAACACCACAGACTGTGGTAAAAGCAAAAATAATCCCCTCATGTTGCCTGAAAATAAATAATATTTAAACCCACAGTCAGATTTTGGACAGCACTCCAGTGAGATGCAGAGGGATATTGTAACATATTGGCGCACGTGTCTTAGGAGGCAAACACACGTAAAATGCCTAATCCTGTGCGGAGTACATGACAATGAGTCCTTCTTGCCATTGCATCCCACTGATGCTGGGAAAAAGACCTTGTACAAGCCACGTCCGGCACTTTATGACATAGAAACAAGACCTATGTGCAGATTTGGCTTATTTTTAAAAATAAAAAACATGGGAGATCTTCAGATCTGTGTCTAGGTTCAGGGCTGGAACAACCTTGGGTTCAGATGTTTTGATTCAGAGCTGTAGTTTTAGGTCATATCTAATTAAAGATTTTTTTTTTTTTTTTAAGTTTTGGTTTTGGGTTGAAAACACCATAAAGCTGAAATCTGAATCTGAATCAGGTTACACACTGGCAAAAGGGCATTTATAAGATGGACTCGCTACCTAGAATTTCAGGCTGCCCCGTTTTTCCCACGTGCTGAGCTCTGAGCTTGTGCAGAAATAATTTCTATCAGCCAGACCTAGAAACAGGGTCTGCAGGTGCAACGTTGAGCTGAGGACTTGTGACGATGGGCTGATGCTGAACACCAGCAAGAGCAAAACCAGTTGCCTCCTTGGGTCGTGGTAGCCAGGCATGTGCTGGGGGCTGGTAGGGCTGAGAACTTCATAGTAGGAAGTCGCTAAATCATGTCATCCAAAATGATTGTTATTGCCTTAAATTGCTTTCAGTTGTACAAAGGTGGAGGCGATGAAAGGCGATGATAACTCCCAGGTTTGCTTGGAGAGCAAACAGGGCCAAAAGGGGCTGGGGTGGGTGTACTGGGGATGAGGGGGACGGGGCACCCTCGGATCCCCCATGGCACAGGGATGGGGGAGAAAGGAAATCTGGAAGAGCAGATGGGGGAGACAGAAAGGTGGAAGGAGGATGGATTGCTGTGGCTGCCCCCTGAGCTAATGCCAAATTTTAGGGAGAGGACCCTAAACAATCCCCCTGTACAGCAGGTCTCTCGGTGTGCATAGCATGAGCATTGCATGTAAAGAAATGCAGGTAAAGAAGTGCAACATATCCAGCTACGGCAGATTTTCTGAGCATGCCATGATGCTATGGATATTACAGAAAAAGCCGTTTCCAGTAACCTACTGTTTAACACCAAAATCTTTTATTAGCACATGCTGCTTTCGGGGTTCATTGAGGGAAGAGCTAAGGTTTGGGGCTGGCCACTTCACCTTTGGACATTACTTGCTCTGTGCTCTGCTATCTTCATATCCTGGAAGATTTAAACAAGTGCTTTAAATTTAAATAGATGGATTATTCGCAGTGCCAAAACTGGGGCATGAGCCCAGGTGTTTGGAGGATCTCAACCTCATGTCACTTGGGCTCTGCCACACAGCTCCAGAGACCGCAACTTAAATACTTGGAAATAGAGACATCTCTGTAATGCCAGATTTTGGAGCTATTTATTGCTGAGGTTTGTGAGACCCTTCTGATTTTTCCCCCCGCCCATGCTCCCAGATTCTCTGGTGTTTTAATTACTACCAACGTGCAGAGGCTAGGAAATGGACTGTCCAGTGCGATAGCTCTCTCCTGTCTCTAATTCCAAAATGAGTGTTTTCTTCAGCAACTGGAGCCTGATTATTGCTTTGTTTTGCCCTTGCTGAGGGCGGCAGCAAAATCCCATCGACGCTTGTGGTTTCTGTGCCTGCCGACTCCTCCAGAGCTGGGGTTCAGCACGACACGGGACAGGATTAGCACGCTGCTGTGCAAAAACTAGTTGGATGCTTTCCCAGGCTGCTTAAGAAGAAAAAGCAGTCGTTCAAAAAAACCCCAATTAAAATCCAAATTGGGTTTGCATCCTGCCCTGCCTGGGTGGAGACACCCTATATGCACCCTATAGGCGAAAGGTCTGGTGTACGGCAAATTTGTCCCCTTATATTTTGCTGTTGCTGCCTCCTGGTTTCATCAGGGGTTTGAATGATCAAATTGCAGCACTTGGTGCAAATTTGCACAGTGCTCCACGAGTCTCCGTTAGCCCTTGTATCTGGACTTGAGCCCATCCTCGTGTACCCAAAGGCCAGGACAGAGGTGGGGACAAAAAGGGACAGCTGCGCTATGCAGATATCTCTAATATTCACTGCCTCGGATTTTGTATTTTTTTTTTCTTCTCTATCAGGTATATCAGTGCTGCAGCAAACCCGCTTCCCGACAGGGAGGCTGCCCTGGGTGTCGGAGCGCAGAGGCAGGCAGTGGGCTGCCTGCAGCCCGCAGGCACATC